AGTCCTGGAATATCTGGTCGATTTCTCAGGAAAGTGACTTCTTGATAATATGATACAGGGGAGATATTCACAGCGCGTGACAGTTCTTGAAAGTACCTGGAATAGGTACCACCGGCTGAACCAAGCCCTGTGAGGGAAATTCCGTAGACGCAATTAATCATCGGTGCCTGTGCTCGCACGAAGTCCCGTTTGATCGTACTAGATATTGTTGTCAAACTTGATTATACTTTTCCCCTCAATGGTAACTGAATTCAGACAAGTGGCAGTATAAACAACAGTCAGGATCTGTTGCAATTGAATATGCACAAATGTGACTGAGAAGGTGTCTGCAACTGAGATTTGAAAGGCGCCTTAACAGACGAGCATTCTCAGATACGAGCGGCCAGCCATTACGTTACACAGAGTTTGTTATTCGTTCATTCTCATAGGCCTGATCATAATTTCATCTTAAAAATGCAGTTTTAATTAAAATATAAAAAAAAAATATTACAGTGAAGATTTATTATCAGGATACTAATTTCTTAAGCATACGATCACCGATGTTAAGTGACATCGTCCCTCGTCAGAGTCTAGATGGGTATATCAGGTGCTGTATACCAACGGTTTAATAAATAATCGCTCGAAAAATTGACCGTTAACCATTTACTCGCAAATACTCCTGGGAAAATATGGATCCTCATCTTCTCCCCCAACTATGGGTTAATTATTACGACCTGTATCATTAAGCCATTATTGTCTTCCCCGCAAAAATCTTACAATAATCAACTGCAAAGGATTGATAAGCGGTAAAAACGAATAAATCAATCGATAAAAACACTACCTTTACATACCCTGACGTTACAATGTAATAATTATAAACAATATTCAATAAAAAGTAAAAATAAAGCCCCAAAGAATAAAAGACTGAACGGTATTGGTTATTTACTGTATTTGGACTGTTTGTCCTTATCTTTCTTGTCATATTCATAAAGATTCGGTCGTTGTACACCCCGGCTTTCTTCAGGTTGTTTGGATTTCAAATCAAACCCATTATTTCGTCCACGGGGGTACATTGTTCTAGCTCCGCGTGAAGTGCCTCTTTGGATCAAGACACTGTATGAATAGATCCAAAGACTTATTAATCAGCTGAAGAAGTCTGGAGTCTAAACAACGTAAATAGTGTAAATAGTTAAATAGACCGGTATTTGTTATGTTAAACCTCTAAATATCTTCATAATTTAAAAGTAAAGCTGACCACCTCCGTGTCTTTAACGTTTTCGATTTAAAGTTCTCGAGTATTTCTTCTCGAACTTTCCCTGAAACTACCAATATTTTCCAACCATAACGAACAAGTTTATTTAGAAATAGTTAAGAGCAGTCAATGTAGAAGATTACTGAATGAGGTTGTTATAGGGAGCGTAAGAGTGGATGGTAAAACGTACACTTTATGTAGATACGTAGGAAATGTAACGGTCTACACTTGACTTGAAGGTTACCGATTGAGGTTGTTTAATGAGCATAACAGGAGGAGGTAAAAATTGCACTTTATGAGGATATGTAGGAAGGGTAACGGTCAACTCTGGACTTGAAGAGATTAAGTACCACTCAAGCTAGAAGGTTACCGACTGAGGTTGTTTATTGAGCATAACAGGAGATAAGAAATGCACATTATGAGGATATGTACGAAAGTTAATGGTAAACTCTGGACTTGAAGTGTTTAAGTGCTACTCAAGCTAGAAGCTTACTGAATGAGGTTGTTTAATGGGCAAAACAGGAGGAGGTAAGAAGTGCACTTTATAAAGATATGTAGGAAAGGTAACGGTCAACACTTGATTTGAAGAGCTTAAGTACCACTCAAGCTAAAAGGTTACCGATTGAGGTTGTTTAATGAGCATAACAGGAGGAGGTATGAAGTGCCCTTTATGAGGATATGTAGGAAAGCTAACGGTCAACTCTAGACTTGAAGATTTTAAGTGACACCAAGCTAGAAGTTTCCTGAATGAGGTTGTATAATGGGCAAAAAGGAGGAGGTAAGAAGTGCGCTTTATGAAGATATTTAGGAAAGGTAACGGTCAACTCTGGACTTAAAAATTTGAAGTGTCACTCCAGCTAGAAGGTTTGTGAATGAGGTTTTAATATGAAGCATAATAAGTGGAGGTAAGAAGTGCAATTTATTAGGTTATGTAGGAATTGTAACGGTTAACATGAAGCTTGAAGTGTTAACATTGTATTGGACGGTAAAACATCCTTTTCGGAATCTGCTTCACAAGATTCTTCTCGGAAAGGCGTCACTAAGGAGCCGTTTCCTTTTGTCATTCTTTTACCTTCTATTAATCGTATATATAAACATTTTGTATGTCATAACATCCATATTGATATGAACAAACTGAGATACACCCGAACGAACTGAAACAGCTTGCTAGACAGTTTGACAGATATATAAGAATAGCCCGATTCGATCAAACAATTTTAGGATAGATAGATAGATAGATAGATAGATAGATAGATAGATAGATAGATGGGGAAGGGAGATAGAGGAATACCAAATGATTGAGGTGGAAATACTTTAAGGAAGATAGAAAGATGTATTCAAAGAAAGAGATGAAAGCAGATGAAGGGCGGTAGCGAGCATTTGGCCTGAGCACAAGCGGGTTTTTAGCTGCGAGTCGATGCTAAGGTTGAAATTTCAATGACTGCACCACTATGGGCATTAGCGTCGGTAGCAGCTGCATCCTTGGAAGTGACTGAAATGAAACAGATTCTAATCGGACTCCATCACAGTTTTCTGTTGCATTTTTCTTTTCAGAATCTTCATCGACAGACATTCTGTCAAAGAAAACTTTTCTCCCGGCCCTGAGATATCCAGGCGAGATTGCAGTTTGAAATAGACAGAAACAGAAGCAGGAGATGGGAGAACGGTAGCAAGTTGGGAATGGTAAAAGTCTCGAGTGATAATAATAATAATAATAATAATAATAATAATAATAATAATAATAGTAATAATAAAGAAAGGAAAGAGAATGAAGGGGGAAGTTAAGAAAGAAAGATAAATAAGAAAGATGAATGGAAAGAATTTAACCTGATGAGGGAAAGAGAAAGTAAAGACGAAAATCAAATAAGAACGAAATAAACAAAGGAAAAGATTAGAAACAAAACGGAAGAAGATTCATGTGAACAAAAAAGATAGGAAGAAAATTTAGGAAAAAAATTAGGTATGAAAAAACAAGTCGGTATTAGTAAAGGTGAATGAAGCAAAGAAAATATAAAAAAATCGCTAAAAAGAGAATATTAGGACAGTCAAGAGAAGATGAGACACGATTAAAAAGATTAAAAGGAGAAAGAAGGTTCAAGGGAAAAAAAATGAATAAAAGAAAGAAGTAATAGGAAAAAGAGTGTGAGAAGAAGAGAAAAAGGAAAGAACGAAAGAAAAGGATAAAAGCGGAGCGAGAAAAGGAGAAGAGAATAAGGCGAAAGGAAGAAAGAAAGATTAAAAGAGAAGAAGAAATGAAAGAAGTACTGGGAGAGAGAAGGAAAAAAGGAACAAAGAAGCGAAAAGGGAGAGTAACAGAATGATACGAGAATAAGAGAAGAAGGGGTAAGGAATGTAGAAGTAAAAAGGAATAGAAGACACATGCAAGAAGAAGGGAAGGGGGAATAAAATAAGGAAGGACAAAAGGGAAGAAAAGGGAGGAAGAGAAATAGAGAGAGAAGAGAATAAAGAAAATAAGCAAAGAGGATAGGAATGAAGACAGATTACAAGAGAAGGAAATAAGTAAAGGAGTGAAGAAAAGGAGAAATAATGAAACGAACAAAATGATAAAACGTAGGAAGGAAAGAAAAAAAAGAAGAAATGATTGTAAGAACGAAGGAAAGAAAAAAGAAAATGATAGGACGAATGAGAGAAAGAAAAGAAGGATAAAATCGTGAAGAGAAACAGAGACACTGTAAGAAGAGAATGAAAGAAGTATATCAGTATATATCGGAAGAAAAATATGAGAAATTGAAAAAGTGAGGGAAAGGAGAAGAAAGGAGGAAACAAGGAAGAAAGGTTGGAAGATTTAAAAGAAAAGAAAGAAAGGAAGAACGAAAGAAAGAACGAAAGAAAGAAAGAAAAGGAAAAGGACTAGGAAATATTGTAGACAGAAAACACAAAGAGATCAATATAAAAAAAAGACCGAAAGAAGTAATTAGAATTGAAACCTGAAGAGAGATGAGATGAAAAACAAAGATATGAACGTCAAAAAAAGAAAGAAAGAAAGAAAGAAAGAAAGAAAGAAAGAAAGAAAGAGAAGGGTCTAGGAAATATTGTAGAGATAAAACAAAGAGATAGCTTAGGACAAGGAGATCAATATAAAAGAAAGAAAAAAAGAAAGAAATAATTAGAACTAAAACCTGAAAAGAGACTGGTTGGAAAACAAAGATATCAACGTCAAACGAAGAAATAAATAAAGATGATAGAAAGAATGAAAGAAAGAAAGAAAGAAAGAAGAGAAGAAAGAACAAACGAAAGACAGGAAAGTGGCTAGTTACGTAGATTACAAAAGGAAGAAAGAAATATGTGTAATTAATATAGGTAACAAAATAAAGATAAAAGAAAGAAAGAAAGAAAGAAAGAAAGAAAGAAAGAAAGAAAGAAAGAAGAGAAGAATGAAAAACGAAAGACAGGAAAGTGTGTAATTACGTAGATTACAAAAGAAAGAAAGAAAGATGTGTAATTAATATAGGTAACAAAAGAAAGAAAGAAACACAGAAAGAAAGAAAGAATTGGAGACAGAGAGAAGAAATGAAACAAGGAAGAAAGAAATTGTGAAAGGGAAGAATAAAAGAATGTAGTTATGCGAAAGGGAGAGTAATAATAAGAGAAAAATGAATTAGAGAAGGAAATAAGGGAAGGAGGAAAGAATAAAAAGAAAGAGAGAGTAAAGGAAGGATTGAAGCATAAAGAGGAAGAGGATGTAAACGTAGAAAAAGTAGTAATAGAAGAGATTAAGGAAGGAGAAACAGAGAAAAGAAAAGAGTTTTTAATGCGGAAGGAGAATTGAAAGAACGAAAAAGAAAAGATGTGATAAATTTAAGTAAATATGAGATGATGAAGCATAATAAATGAAACAAATTAAAACCAAAAAAGAACTGAACGACAAGGAAAGAGGAAGAAAAACGGAGATTAAAATGAAAAACAAAATAAGAAGAAAGAAATGAATGAAATTATATTCTGAACACCAGGAGGGAAGGAGTAACAAAATCAATGAATGACAGAAAAAAAAGCACTTTGTTAAGAGAGGTAATAAGAAAGTGGCAAAAAATAAGTAAAACTGTCAAAAAATGGAGAAAACTTTAGAAGAAACGAACCTTTTTTAAATAATAACAAAAAGAAACGTTAAGAAAACAAAAATAGAAAGAAAATGATAGTACAAAGAAGTAGAGAAAGAAGAATATAAATGATAGTACGCAGGAGAAAAAGAAAAAGAAAGAAGAAAATAGTTGTAGGAAGGAGGGACAGGAAAAAAGAAAAATGATAGTACGAAAGAAGAGGGAAAAAAAAAGAAGGAAATTATAGTACGAAAGAAGGAAAAAGAAAAAGAACATGATAGTACGTAGGAGGAAAAAGAAAAAAAAATGATAGTAAGAAAGAGGGGAAGAAAAAAGAAAAATGATTGAACGGAGTCGGGAAAGAAAAAGAAAAGAAAATGATAGTAATGGGGTAAAAAAAGAAAATGATAATACGAAGGGAGGAAAGAAAAAAGAAAATGAGAATTCGAAGGCGGGAAAGAAAAAATAGGAAATGATAATACGAAGGGAAAAAAAAGAAAATGCTACTACGAAGGAGGAAAAGAAAAAAAAAATGATAGTACAATGGAGGGAAAGAAATAAAAGAAAATGATAATATGAAAGAGGGAAAGAAAAAAAAAGAAAAAAAATGATAGCACGAAAGACGTACTGCAAAAGAAATCGGAGAGAGAATAGTGAGAAAAGACGGCAAAGAGGAAAGAAAAGAAGTCAAATACGAAGGTGATAACAAAGAGAAAATGAAAGGCCGAGAGAGAAGTAAAATGCAGTTAAAATGAAGGGGAAGTGTAGAATGAAAAAGAAAATAAGACGTAAGGAATCAATCTAGCCTAATGTCGATTTTGCAATGAAATGAGGGAAGAAAACAATTGACAGGTTACAGTCAATACTTCACCCGAAACCATGGAGCGAAATGTTCATGTGTTATGAAAAAAGTAAGGTTAACAAAAAAAAAATCCATTATAAAAAGAGAGATGACTCTGTTTTATACAATGTTTAATAAGTAAAAATTAATTACATGTGAGTACGTTTGGATTAACACTTTAGTAAATGCAAGGAGAGAATAAATTAGGAAATAAAACCTTCGTGGCCGAAAAATTTTTTTTAAAAAATACGGTCTGTCAGAAGAACGGCTATTCCCTTGACACCACTATTACTGTATACACTTTTGGCTCCCTCGGCAATATTTAGTATTTTACAAATCGACGATTAGAATTTTAACAAATTTTAAATATATGAAAATTAATTTATCTATTTTTTTGTCAACAATGATATTAAATAGACTTAGATTGCTTATTTAACCTGTCGGAAGATTTTCTAGACATTTCTTTTTAAATTATCAACATCTTTTTTTAAATTAGAAAACAAATGTAGCAATGTATTTAGTTTACATATTTTGATAATCTTGTAATGTTTTATATCTTTTTAATAATAAGTTTTTTTTTTCAAATATATTTCTTTATAAAAGGATAAATAATAAAACCTTGTAAAATGTTAAATAATTGCCCTTGCTTTACACATTTTTTAAATATTGTAAATAAATATCTGTGTATATCTCTGAGATGAGTCATTATAATTATTTGAATTATTTACAATATTCGGACTGTTATCCTCATTTACATTGCCATATTCACAACGTTTCAGCCGTTGTACGAACCGGCTTTCTTCAGGTGATGGGAATTTCGAACTGAACTCTTTATTTCGTCCACCGGGGTAAATTGTTTTAGTTCCACTTACCATGCCTCTTCGAGATGTCTCAGTTATTTCACTTTAACTCCAGTCACCAAGACTTTTGCTTCACCACTGTTGTAGACTGGTATTGAACTCACAAATCTTTCGGTATAGTCACTGTATTTAAACAATGGCTTTATCCACTGGGACATGTGTCCTTCAGGTTCATGAAATAGTGACGCTTTGCATTTTCCAGACATTACTTTGACTCTTACTGCATTAAGGACCGCCCGCAATCACTGCAGATTGCGGGCGGTCCTTAATGCAGTAAGAGTCAAACTATACCGTTCATTACAATTGAGTTGTACAGTAGTGTTTACGGTGAGCTATGGCTGTACATTTAGAATTGAACCAGGGATAGCTGTTTGTTTTCTGTCGGAATTATTTTGCTCGTATTTTTGCTTCAAGAAAGGATCCATTCCGAAACGAGCGCATTAGTTTTTAATGCTTGAAGAAGGTTGACAAAGGAACTTCTGTCATAAAAGATGTAAATGTGCTCCAGTCTCAGCATCAAAAAATCGTTCAATGAAACGGCAAATCAGGGGATACCTTTGGTCTGGCATCAATTTCGACATTGACGAGGGAATAATTTGACGTACTCGGGTAAGTATTTTTCAGGGGACGATGTGAGAAAAAGTTCGAGGAGGTTTGTCTGATATCCAGTTGCGTCAAGGAGGCGGATGGCTTCTTCGATGATCCTAGTTCGTAGGCGATGGAGTAGTCTCTGCAATATCGGCTTTCTTCATCGGTTTTTTGGTCGAGTGGACTAACCATTCTTTATCGAAGTCACCGCAGATATGAAAGCTAGCTGAGGGAAATTCTTTGAGAATACTATCAATCCTCTCAGACATTCGACCGAAAATTAGTGTCCCGTCGTTCTGATGTCAACAGTGAGCCTAAAATGTATTGAGCAGGTGGCCGAGTGGATAGAATGTTAGTTTTCTGACCAGGAGACACGGGTTCGAATCTCACCATGGTCGATTTGTCAGGAACGGACTTTCCTGATGTCATCGGTCTGTAGGAGGCAATCCCAGCTGGCGGGACCGTTGGAAAGTGCATGGAAAACATACTAAAGATTGACCCAAGCCGTGTGAGTAAAATTGGTAAACGGAGCAGTTGGGGGCCGTCCATAGCTGTGCTAGCACGAAGTCACAAGTCATTGTTAGTATCGAATGACACGGTGAACCAACCTACTTTTCTTATATATATATATAAAATACATTTTTTTAATGTTTAAACGTTCTTTTTTATAAGAAAATGCCTTAAATAATTATCAGACTTTTGTCCATCCATTTATATATATATATATATATATATATATATATATATATATATATATATATGCTAATTTTAGATTTTAATTTCCGTTAGATTTATATGTTAATTTATATGCTCCGTTAGATTAAATGCATTGACCTCTCTTTGTGGATGAGTTTTAAGATTTTTTTTTTATATTATAAGGATTCTCTTGGATTATATACCAACGGATTATTACCTATATATATATATATATATATATATATATATATATATATATATATGCGTGGTTCCGAAAACAGACTATGTATAGATTTTGTATTTTCCATCATCGTGTACGTGTTCCAGATGAAAAGAAAACTATACGTTGCCTCAAATCTGTGCATGCATGGACAATGTATGCTTGTAAATATTATATATATATATATATATATATATATATATATATATATATATATATATATATATATATATATATATATATAATATATAAATATATTGTTTGTGTTTGCATCTTTGATAAATCAAAAAAGCGAAATATATATATATATATATATATATATATATATATATATATATATATATATATATATATATATACAATAGGAATATAAAATTACCTCATAGTTATGATCATTTCACCTTAGCAAGTTAAGATTTACATTTAAATGTTTTCAAACCGCTCAAGGTAATAAGATAAAAATAAAATGAAACCTTATTAGCTTAATCGTTTTGAAAATGCTTACAAGTAAATCTTAATTTGTTATGGTGAAATGATCATAACTATGTGTTAATTTTAAATTCCTATTTTATGTAATTAATCTGCTCTGTTAGAATAAATACATTGAGCTATCTTTGTGGATCAGTTTTAATATTTTATATTATTAGATTCACTTGGATTATATACCAACGGATTATTACCTTACATATATATATATATATATATATATATATATATATATATATATATATATATATATATATATATGTCATTTCATCCTAAGCAAGGCAATAAACCCAGGTAAACGCAAGGTGTTATAGCATGTAATGCAATATGAGAAAAAGAAAGCATTATTAAGTAGAGAGTATAAAAAACAACGATTAACATTACAATTCAACTTTTGAGGATGAACGTCAATTAGGAAACATGATGCTAGCACTGAGTTCCATAATATAGATGTGCGAGAGAAGAAACTGTTAGCATAGAACTTACGGTTCCATCTAGCCATTTAAACTGTAAAATGATGAGACCTTGCCGCCAATTTAATACTGCGCCTAAATCCATAAAGTTTAGTTACTATTTCCTATCTGTTTTATTTCCTCGTCTTTTCTTAGTAGATTTGCGAAAAGAATACTTGATATGTGAAATAGTTTCACTTGCTATGACAGCGTATATCAGTTAATTGCATAAAAATCAAAACAGACCAGACGCTACAAAACAATCAGACATCATCGGGCGAAGAAAGATGCATAACTCATCGATTTGTCTATATTTCAGAGGGAAATTAGCAGGAGATAACTGATAATTGACATCCATTAAACATGGCACGTGGAACTAGAACAATCTACCCCAGTGAGCGAAATAAAGAGTTCAGTTCGACATTCCAACCACCTGAAGAAGGCCGGAGCGTACAATGGCCGAAACGTTGTAATAAATATGGTTACAAAGATGAGGACAATAGTCCCAATAATGTAAATAATATAACTCATCGACTGTGGTTGAGATTAAAAAAAAAAAAAGATACACCACATCGCATCTCAGTTAAGTTGTAGACTCCATAATCCTTTCTGCTGTTATATTAGGTTGGTGCAAAAATAATGACGTAATAATGTCGTTTTTTGACGTATTTTTTAACTTCAAAAAACGATATTATTACGTCATTATTTTCGCACCAACCTAATATAATGTGTTTTTCTCCCATGATATATACGGTTTTATATTCAGAGTTTTTCTTCTCCAAGATTGGTTGTCAACCCGGGCTACAGTGCCTAATCTCCCTTGGTATTTAAACCATACTTGGTTTGGTGGGAGAAAAAAAGGGATGCATAACTTTCCCAATTAAATCTGTGTGAAAGTCAATGTAACTAATTCGACTCGAATTCGACTCTCAGAGTTCTCATTCCGCGCCGTTATCCATTACACCACCTACACCCTCAAAGAAACGCGCGAAATATTAATTAAAGTAAAAATATTAAATGAGGTAAACCATTTCATCACGATTCAAAAGAGCTGGCAAGAAAGGATGCTTATGTATGATTGGTAAGGAAGGAACCTTTACTGGGAATTATGCAAAGGTTCTTAATCTAAAATAAAAATCATCGCTAATAGAAGCAAGAGACTATCCGCTAGAATTTTTTTTTCAGACATCAATTTAAATACCGAACAGAATGCAAGGCACTAGTTCTTCATATCCTTCACTAAAAGAATACCTGTAAGATAACATATATCACGGTTCTCACAAACCATTGATTGACATCGATTAAGATTGAAAATCTAGATAATTATTCAACGATTAGACTAATAGCAGAAAGGAGAAATTGTTTGATGTGACTCGTTGGAAGATATATAATGTACCAATGGGACACAAAGTTAGAGTCTTATTTAATAATGTTTGAATAGATGTAGGTAATCAATCTTATTTGTTAAAGTAGAAAAGAATTAG